AAACATTGATCAATAAATTAAATCAGTAATAAGATCCTCTAAATTTAGCAGTAAAATAAAAGTTCACGTGTAAATAATCTCCTAGTTTACCGTTAAAAATGAAGAAGAAAATCATTGAAGATTAATCACTGATTTTGAGTACATGAAAGAACTTTTTTATAGCTAATCTCAATTGCAATCGACGAAGAAATTTCTTATTACACAAACAAGATTAAAGATTCAGACTAAAAATCTGATAAAAAAAATCAGCATTAGATGTTTTGTATACTAATCAACAAGATTAAATTTCAAATTTAAAAAAAAATCTCTCGTATATTAGATAGTTTAATAGTAATAATCAGAAAAGACGAAACATTTTTTCCTTTAGTATAATATTGTACAATGTATTAACAATGAGATAAAAAGGTTTTTATAAAACAATATAAGAATATTGTAATTCATCCATATATAGATTTAGGTAGAGATGTCTAACTAGGAGTTGTTACATAAAAATGCTTTCTTATTCTAAAATAATTATTCAATTCATTTAACTTTCTTACTAATATTATTCTCTTTAATTTATTTACAAAATTTCAAAGGAATTATTTTATGTTAAAAGAAAAGAATATAAACTGATTCTTTTGAATGAAAATCTTATCTAAAAACTATAGAGAAATAGTCAACACCTGCTACATGTATATTTATTTTGTGCATTATTCATTTTCATGTTCTTCATTTCTTCGACGATACTTAATTGTATTTCTCATACTTTTCTTCGTTGTCCAAATAACGATATTTGTGACGAAATGTTGTTTTTCTTTCTTATCCTTGATAAATCTATTCAGAAATAACTATATAAAAAGAATTAATAAATAGTTTCATATTTTCAGTGTAGGTATCAATAGAACTATGTTTAAATGGAAATATCAAAGAAGAACAATCGAAAAAACTTTTCGTCTAAGATTTAATATTTTTATTGAGCTTTTCTTCTATTTGAAAATATTCTTCGAACTTCTGTCAAATATATTGATCATTCTTATCATTGATTTATGCTCGATCTATTTAGTTTTACATCGAAATATCGAAAATCTCGTTAGAAAATAACAGTTTTTTTAATAGGATTGTCAAATAGACAATAAAAACAATATATACGCATCTTCAGACGATTAACTATCAACATTATATCAACAATTGCTCATTATCTCTTATCGAATAAATCAAACACTAAAAATCTTCCTATCGAGTTTGTGACATTAAAGTTCATGATGATAATGATAGATCAAATATTTCTATTGATACAATCAATCATTACATGAACCTTAGATTCAATTTCATCTATTTTCTTAAATAAACAAGAGAAATATAGAAAATATTTCGATAAATCAATTGAACGAATACTATTCTATGTTTAAATAACAATGATCATTATTTCAAAGATTTAGTTAAACGAATATTTGTTAAATTAATTTACTTGAGTTCTATAGAAATTATTAAAAGAGAAGACAAAAATTAAGAAGAGAAAAACAAACACATATAGAAGATAAATATATCCTATTACTACGCAGTGAATTCATATAAAATGGTGAGTGAGAATGTAGCTCTGGATAGACATGCACCAAACTCAAATTCAAATCCAAGCGGGTTTGCAATTTAAGTTCAGATCTAGTAGTACGGTTAACGAAGTGTTTTTATTTCTAGCTTACATCTATATTCTTTTAGTTTATCTCTTTCTTACACTAGTTGATCACATATGACTATATAACACAAAGAAGTATCGGTCAGCGTTATTATAGGATCGAGAGTGGGTGTGGGTATGAATGTAAAAGAAGAAGAGACATACATCCGCACCCATTTTCAAGATTTTGTTATGTTTCAAAGTAACATAGTAGAGCTTTCGATCTATAATTAAAGTTATTATTACGGCAAAATTATGAAAAAAAGGTGAAAAACATCAACGAACATCTTTTTTTTTCTTTTTTCTCTTTTCTTTCGAGTAGACCTATAAATGAATATTACGATGCGATCGAAATACGTTCTCGTACATTACAATGGTTATCAATAGTCGAAACAGAAAAGAAAAGAAAAGAAAAAAAAGAAAAGAAAAGAAAATTTAAAATATGATTACCTTCTAATAAATTATTCGATTATTTTTCATTAATATCCGATGGTTGATCAGATGAAGTTATACGAAGAACAGTTTTACCCATAACTTGACCACTATATTACATCTTAATAATGCTTCTATTACTTGAGATGGTTCATAAGTAACTGTTGGTTCAAGAACACGTAATTTACGTTGAACAAATAGATCAAATGTTTCTTTAAGTATAATATGAATAAGAAATGATATATGATCAACAAAATCCAGCGAAATCAGTCTACCATATCTGATCGTAATAATTCTTTTTCTTTATCTTCTTCAATCCATGTTAATTCAGAAAGAAAACGAGATTGTGGTACACAAAGACGAAATGGTTTTTGATCTGCATCTCGTTTAGGAATAATAGGTATTTGTTCGTATTTAGATTTCTTTTGTTCATCATTATTTTGTAACATTTCATAATGTCATGTTAAATATTGAACTTCATTTTGATTTGTATCATTAAGACGAAGAACAACTTCACAAGTATCAGTTAAATATCTTGAATTAATCATATATTCTATTAAAGTATGAATAAATATTAATTCATTATTTAATGATGTTTGAAGATCAACAAGTTTTAATCAAATTCGTTCATATTCAGTTATTAAACTTCGTGCAAGGCCAATAAATGGTGATGCAATTATATTAAGATTCGAATCATTATTAAATTGAGCATGATCTGCAAGAACAATATACAAATGGATAGAAATATGGCGATGATTTTTGAATTGTTTGAAGAATTCATGATAATGTTCCACATAGACGTTCTTCATTTTGTTTGAATGCTAAATCATCATCATTATTTTCATTAAGTAATGTTTGATCAAGTTGCCATGCAAATATAATAGATACTTGTTTATAAGTAGTTAATAGAACTGATATTCCAAAAAAAATAATATCTAAAGTTGAATTATGAATATGAAATATTTTAATATTTGAACATGGTAATAATGACTATAGAATATTATTATTATCATCTTTAATAAATATTAACCATAACTGATTTTTTCTTTCATCAAGTCTTTGTGATATATCATTCGATGTTGTTTTTTGACTAATAATTAATGTACTTTCATTTTGATTTATTGTTGATTCAATAATACAAAATCCTTCGATTTGTTCTACTAATGTTGTCCATTGTTGAATATTATTTAATGAACGATTATTATCATCAGATGATGACCACCATTGATCAATAAAACCAAAAATAAGATCAAAATAAAGTAGAATATGAACTAGTTCTAGTAATAAAAGAAGACCATTAGGAACAAGTAAACGACGAAGAGCAATTAAAGAATTTGTTAAATCTTGATTTCCTTGAAGTTGATTGGAAGAAAGTATAATATCAAATGATTCAAATGGTATTTATTCAAGTGTTTTACTATCATATAAATCAATTGTTTCATCATAAATAATAGATAAATTTTTTGTTTGATTAGTTAGATGTGTATTAAATGTTTGTTGAGCATTTGCAAGTTGTGTTGGACCAGAATCTGCATAATATAAATCAATTAATAAACCTGTTTGTTGTGATAAATTGAGAAGAAGATCAACAATAGGTAAAACATCTGAACAATCACTATCAGTTAACCAAAATATACGTAATCGATAATTTTCAAATGAATTGTCTTTAGTTTGTTGTTGTTGTTCATATTGTAATTGTAAATGTTGACAAACAGTATGAAAGACTTGTTGTATTTTAGTTGCCCTGATAAGAGTTTTAATTTGTTGAAAACTTTGTCCAATTTCGTCATCACCAAAAAATATATCTAATTCATTTTTTTCCCCACTAATAATATCTTTTAAATGTGAACCATATTTGTTTAATGTTATTAAAAATAGTTTCAAACGAGGAAAACGTTCAATTAATTAAATAAGACGAAGTTGTGTTGAATGCCATGTTACTTATTCCGAATGTAAAGTTGAAGCAAGAGAACGACATGCATTTAATAACGGATGATGTTGTTGATTTAAATCAAGATCTTTTATTGCCATTTGAGCATAATAAGCAGCTAATTCATTAAATGGTTCGATTGATTCAATTAAATCTTGATTACTATTAGAATTAAGTTTATTATTAAGAATTTGATTAGGTGATGGAAGTAAATCTGATATATCTTTTATTATTAGTGAATCAGTTCATACTCTTTTCATACAATAATCTTTTATAATTGTATTTAAATATGGTGAATGATCAGCATTAGGTAAATCAGTTGTTAGATTTAATTTATCATAAATTATTTGTTCCATTGACCATCGACCAGAATGTGCACCTTGAACTTGTTGAATAACAGCACCTTTAAATGTAAATATTGGTTCTTCGGTTTTATTCTCCATTGGAAATGTCCATAAATTAAGATTATATATTTCTTCTTGGTCTATACCACATATATTATCATGATACTTTCCACGTACTTCAACATTTGTTGATCGATTCATCTTTGCTTTTGTCTTACTTGAATAAATAAATTTTTGAATACGTACTGGAAGAAATGTTGTTTCAATATCTGGTAATAAAACTAGATATGGATGAAGTAAATAATAAGATGAACAATTATTATTATCATTTGATAATTGAGATATAATTGTAGTTGAAGTACCACGTTATGTTTTTATTTTTTTTTGAAAACTAGATCCATATTGATAAGCACGTGTTGAAAGATGTGCATAAGCACTTCGTATATCTTGTATGGTCCATCTATCAGGTACTGTTCATGATTTTTGTTGTTTAGAATCTATTCCAATTTTACCTTGTGCATGTAAAGTAAATTGATTTAATGAATATTTATTAAAATTATCTTGATTACAAAATATAATATACCATTTACGCATTGGCATAATTATTTGTGTAAATACTTCCATCACTTCATGTTCATTAAGAATAAGTGCTTTATTATAGTTTACGGCTTCAAAAATAAGTGTTAGTTGTTGTTGATCATCTTCTTTTGGGGGAAGTAATTGTTGACAAGCAGTTGTTGCAAGTTCAAGATAAGCAACAGCCGGGAAAAGAATTGCATCTTGAATTTTATGATCTTTTAAAAAGGCATGTTGTGCTAAATTAATATTAATAAGACTTTTCGATGTTGCACTTGTTTGTTCATTTAATTGACGAATACCAAGTAATGAATGAGTTTGAATACGATTAGTTAAACGTTGTATAGATAAACCTTTTGATTCATACCAACATGAACTCAAATGAAATTTATATGATGGAAAATTATCAAAATATTCTTCATGGTTTTTCAACGGTAAAATTTGACGAGTATGAAAATATTGTTGCCATACATGAGATGATGTTGTAAGTTGTGCTAAACTAGTAAGTAATGTTATTTGTTCATTTTCTTTTCGTTTTAATGTTGGAAGAATAAGTGGTGATGATTGTTGTTGATTTGTTAATTCATAACATTCACGAATTGATTTTGCTAAAACTGGATGTGGTGAAATTTCAAGAAAAATATTTGCTTCTTCATCTTTTATAATTAATGTTATAGTATCATATAATCGAACAGTTTGTCTTACATTTGACTATCAACTGGTATATTATCATTCATTTTATCATCAGTAATACTTGAATAAAGTTCTACTTGTGCACATATAGAATTAAATATTTGTTTTTAATCTTGTATTGAATATTCACGAATATTTTTTTTAATGATAATAACATATCTTTTTCAGTATGAAATTGATTTATTTGATACGATGAAATGCATTTTCAATACGAACACATGCTTTAAATACATTTGGATAAGATATGGAAAGAATTTGTTATATTTCATCAATAGTTTTTTCATCACCACTTATTGTTACTGAACTAGGACTATTAACAACAGCAATACAAGCCAAATGTTCAATACCTTTCAAAAGTTTGTTTTCTACTTCTTCTTCACTCATTCAAACAGCTAATATACGAACAGTTTCTTTTAAACTTAAACGATCAGCAACAAAAGCAGCTGCTTGATCACCACCACTATGTGATATTATAAATGATGGATAAATATTCCAAGAAACAAGTAAAGCTGTTAATGCAACTTGTATAGCAAATAATGTTGGTTGAGCATTATTTCTATCATTAATACGAGATTCTTGTTCATTTTTCTTTTCAATTAATTCTTCTAATAATCTCCATTCACCATTATTAATTTTTGTCATTTCTCCATCAATTAAATTAATCCGTTTAGTAAATAAAGGTTCATTTTCATATAATTGTCTACCCATAGCCCACCATTGTGGGCCTTATCCATTAAAAACAAAACATATTTTCTGTGCTAATGATTTTGTTGGACGTGATGATTGTGAGATCTGGTAATACTTTTTTAGTAAGAAAAGCATTGATTTGTTCTTGTAATTGTTGATGATTAAGAAAAACAAAGATTGCTGAATGTGTATAACTAATAGTTCTTTTAAGAAGAAGTTATTGAGATATACGTTGAAGAAAAGTTTGATGATCATCATCATGTATATCATTAATTAATGATTAAGAGATTGACGACTGTTTGCTGAATAAGAAGACATAGATTATTTAATGAATGAAAAGAAAAAATAACTTACTTGAAAAAATAAAAAGAAAATATTGTTTGCTTTTAATATGATTTCCATCATCGATATGACCATTTTCAATTGATGTTTTATTTATTGGTTGATATTCTTCAATAATAGAATGTGTCGTTGAACCACCCATTCCAAATGAATTAACGCCTATAGGTATTTTTCATTATTTGAAAGTGTTGGAAATGGTATAAAATTTTGAATAATATGTAGATTATATTTTTGTGCTTCTATTTTTGGATTTAGTGAAGTAAATTGCATATTTGCTGTAATACCACGATGATACATACAGATAGCAACTTTAATAAGTGATATAACACCAGCTGCACCTTCTGTATGTCCTAAATTACTTTTAATTAAATCTAATAATAATGGTGGATCAAGATTTGATCGATTAAAAAATCGACCTAAACAATTAGCTTCAATTGGATCGCCATCACGTTCAGCATCACTTAATTGTTTTAATAATAAAAGACCAAGACCACCATCTAGACACAATATTGAAATTGAAATGTATTTCTAAATAAAAAAACTAATCAACTGAATTTACCTTTAGCATAACCATTAACATCAACACTAAATGATCGATTTCTTCCACCAGATGATTGTGCACCAATAAATGAATGTTGTAGAAAACTTTCTGGTGTAAGAATCCATTAACACCACCATATACAGCCATGTCAGCTTCATTTGTACGGAGACATTGCACAGTCATATGTAAAGTTTCTCAAGAAGATGAATAAGCAACATCTAATGATATATTTGGGCCATGTAAATTAAAATGATTTCATAAACGTGTTGATACATTATATTATAATGTATTTGATCCATGAAATTTTGCTCGATGTTCAGGTCTCATACGAATTGTCGTAATTGCATGATCTGTTGGAAATTGTCCAATATGTGCTGATGTTTTTGTACCATTGATTTTTCCAACACGATGTCCAGCATCATCAAGTAAATGAACAAACTTTAACATAAGTAATCGATGACATGGATCAACACTTCCTGCTTCAAACATATCTCATTATTGATTTGACATAAAAATAACCAGCACGAATAAGTTTTTGAAGAAGTTGTCCATTATTATCCATATTAAGCATATGAGCAGTAAATGATTTAAGATCAAATCGATCAATTGTTGTTGTACTACCAATATCACGACTTTCTTTTAGTGCATCCCATAAATCATTTGGTGAAGGAATATCACCTGCAAATTGACAGCATATACCTATTAAAGCTATTGCTTCTAATAATGTATTATTATCTATAGTTGACATTAGTATTTTTTGTTTAAGTATTAATTTCTGGATTAATATAATAAAGTTTTATATCTAAAATGAAAATGATAATTTTTCAGATCAGTCAAAATTGTAGGTGAGCTTTTAACTTTAATTTCACTTAATGAAGTTAAATTATTAAGTTTCTTATTTAACATTTAATAGTTTGTGTTAATAAAAAAACGAACGAATGGATGTGAGTATGGATATGATTATTCGGTTTTGATTTACATCTACACTCTCAAGTATTCAAAGGCACATATTTAAATATCAGCATACACCTAAACAAAAACCATCTCATTCTATGCAACAAAAACAAGCGTGTTGTATTCAAATTTGATAATACTATACTTTTGAATCTAAAACTATTTTTGTTTGTGAACTAATAAACAAAAATGAGATATTAATATAAACTAGAACAAAATAGTACTGTTCATAGTAAGCAAAAAAATATAGTGAGTATAGTTACGTGTAGTTTGTTATTTCAAGTCAAAGTTTAATTTCAGATGGTAGACATACTTGTTGTTGCTAAATGCTTCAGATTGATCTGACCTTCGAAGAATAAATGTACTCAAAAAATAAAATAAAAAAAAACTATACCGATTCAATTCATAGTCATTGTTGAATTCTTCCAGATTACTTGAGCCTTAATGATTTCTAATATTCTCAATAAGTATAATCAGAAAAATCAGAAAATATGCAAATTTAATTTATAATACCATTTCTTTTCGCCATAATGGTCATTGCCGGATTCTTCAGATCAACCTAACCTTCAATACGTAATAAATATATTTGATAAAACAAAATAAAGAGAAATACCCAGATTTAGTTCATAATAACTTCCATTTTTACCATAGTACCCACTACTGGTTTCGTTGGATTAAGATGACCTTCAATAAATAATAATATATGTACTCAAAAAACAAAATAAGGGACAAATAAAAAATACCTTAATCCACTTCATTGTATCAACTTTTTTCATCGTCCTATGCGTTGTTGGATTACTTAGATTAAGCTGACCTTTCATGAATAATAATATATTCAATTAATAAAATCAAGAATAGTAATAAAAAAAGATATCCAGATCTATTTCATTATACGATGTGTTAATTTTCTATAATACTTATTGTTGAATTCTTTTTATTAACTGCTCTTTGATATTGCTGTATCATTCAGAAGATGATGACCTTGAATCAACAAAAAAATATGCTAAATACGTGTAATATATATCAATCAAAATAATACTATTTATTTTTATTATAATTACCATGACTTTAGTCATTAGGATATTGTGATTTTGTATGAAGAAGTAGATACTAAATACGAAAAAGAGATAAAAAACAAAGAATAAAACGATAATATCTTACTGTATTATTTGGATGAATGAAAGAGTGTATAAGACAATGCGAAGAATAAATATTTTTTTTGTTATATACGACTTGCTTCAGTCAACCACAGCTTGTATGAGTAATATTAACATACGATTAAAAAGTATGACAACGACATATCTATGAAAAGCACATGTAGATATACAAAAAGGTGTATTGTAGAAAAAACAGTATAGGATAAATATGAATTAAGAATATCGATAGAAAAATATTTATGATAAATTAAATTTTGTTATTTACATTAATTTAAATAGCTATATCATTTCAGTATTAACTGATAATATTGTTCAGTTTATACTATGTTTTTTTTGACGATAAAATATATAATTATATATTTAAAAATGTGTAGTTCTATTGAAGAAAAAATATTTCTTTTGGGTATGAAACATTTATGCTATTTCGTTAAAAATTATTTGATAGCATCAGTTAACATGAAAACAATCAATGTAAAAGCAATACTTAATCGGATTAAAGAGTATATATTGTAGTTTTTCAATTAAGATACCAAGAAACTTCATTTAAATATTTAAGTTGTCAGTTTTTTTCTAAATCTTATAAATTTTTCGAGTTGAAATTTGTTTCGATTATATTATATGGTGAACATAGAACTAAATGCCTTATATAACCGTGTCGAAAATCGATTTGATCTACAAGATCATTATAAATTTCGATATTCAAACGATTTATCATTAGTATAAAGTAACAAACGTATATATCCTACCAATCTCATATGTAATATAACAAAAAAAAAGTATGTTTGAATTATTATATAGCCGTAAGAATTGACTTTTAACTTTCAAATATAGCACATCGAATTTGAACTTTTTCATATATATAAATATATTTGTTAAGTATCACCTAGGTCAACATATATCTTTATTGTAACTTGAAAAATATTTGATTTCATTATTGTCCATTGACAATGAATATAGATCAAAGAGACAAAGAAGTAATAATATAAAAGGAAAGCAAAGAAATAAAATCTAACAGGATAGGTGAACGATGAAAAAAAGATACAAACGAAATATTATTCTCCATCAATCATTATTGTATCTTGTCACATACTTTATATCTTTGCAATTATATTCAAAGGACGAATTACACAAATAAAAAAGCAATAATAAATAACAAAAAAATATACCTGAGCAATACAAGGCAAATAAAGAAAGGACAGTGTTTGTGTTATTGAATTATTGACCAGAGAGAAAAGAATATAACAAGTATTACCTTGTAGAATATCATCTCAATACATCAAGTACATCTTTTTTTTTTGTTATTTTCATATTAAACGATACATAGCTCGTATCATTAAAGTATGAAAATATGAATAAATATTTAATTATTTCATATGATACCATAATTAGTTGAAGATGATATTTCTATCGATATTCAACTATAATTGAAGTATAATAAGAAAAAAATATTTATTTTAATTCTAAATATAATCTACAACTGATTTTTCTATTACAGTAGAAAAATGTAGTTATTTTTTACTGTAATTTTAGTTTTCCGATTTGAGTTCTTCTACAAATAAAATAAAATAAAGAGAAAAAAATTGATTTCAATTATAAATTTAGATTAAGATAGGATTATTATATCACTGTGGAAAAAATTAACTAGAATAGAATTACTATTTGAATTAGCGTATTCTATGTAAGAATTGTTCACAAATAGTAGTATAATAGATTAAAAAAATATTTTGTTTACTTTATAGTTATATTTTAGATTAATATTGTCCTACAACTATAGCAAAAATCGAAACAAATTTTTGACTTTTTTGCTTTAATCTTTGAAAGTTATTTTCGAAATAAACTTATTCAGTTGAATCTTTGTTTGTATTTATATTAAAATTATCCGACTATAATTATTTTTATGAAACGATTAAGAAAAAACTGATTATTTATTTATTGATGATCAATAAGAATATATCACAGATATTTATTTAAAATAATATAATAGTACTATATGATGACTCATTATAGATATTTTAGTTGAAATTTCTTTCATCTTAGTTCATGTCTATTCATCACTTTGAAATTTGTCTTATGCAATACTAATAACCTTTTGATAAACAAACAAATTATATATTTTTATTTATTTCATTCTATATATCTTGTCCTATTAGTTTGAAAATAATTTTTGCAGTTTGTACGGTTAATTAATCACCATTCTATAAATCAGATATATAAAAATAATCAACTCTAGGAAATTTAAATAAAGTATTATTTTCAGTTGACATTTATCATATATGATTATATTTAATTCTAACTAGCTGAATTCTTAAACTTTAGAGTACTTAAATAATTACGAAATTCATTGGATTTGATATATTAAGACTTGTTGTAATCATTTAAATAAGAAAAATCTCCAACTAGAGTTTTTTTTACAAAGAAAATAATAATAAACTCTGAATCAAAATTTTATCGTATATAGCCATTCAGTGATCAACAGGGCCAACATAAAATATTAATCATAAATAGCTTTTGAATAGAAGCAATAATTGAACATGACGATATATTTTTAGAGTGATATATAATTGATTAGTACACTTCATTGATTTTTTACATATACGCATATATTCTGTTCTCTTAACTCATTTCTTTGTCTTTTCTGAACAACTTATCCACCTTGATCTTTGAATTGATCGCTATATCAGAGTATATCTTAATAGGAATAGATCACGTTAAATATATGAATTTATTATCAAGAACGTATGTCTCAACCAAGATAATTTAGATGATATACATACAGATCCAAACTCAACATAACTTGATTTAGTGAATTTAAAATATTGAATAATAGTTCATTCAATATATTTATTCTCTTTTTTCAATCTAGTATAAAAGATTAATAAATATTAGATCTATACAAATGTATTTTATTTGTATCTCTTACAGATTATTTCGTTGCAAAGATATAAAAAAAGTAATCGCTTGCTTATTTACACTAGTCAGTTTTTTTCATTTTGTTACATTAACACACTATTAATAAAAGGTAAGGTTTTATCTCTCATAGACAACGTGCTAATGTAACAGAACGAAAAGAAAAGAAAAAAATCACGTTATTTTGTGTTGATAATAAGTTTATATATAGTTTAAAAGTTTTACTCTTACTTTGGAATAAAATAAAATAAAATAAAATAAAATAATCGAGGAATAAGTATACTTTACAATCAGTTTATTTTATTATAACTCGTTGAATAATATAGAAATTAAACAAATATATATTTAATTAAAAGATTGTGTAATGTGTCTCCACATTGTTCAGACATTCAAATATTATTCAATCCAAAATTTATGAGATTAGAATAGTTTTTCATGTACTTTAATCAATAAAAAGACATTAAACGATTATTCTATCCGTTAGTTAATGTATAGGTGAAAAAGAAAAAAATATATATATATATATCATAGATTGTATTGTATGGCGGTATAAATACGAACAAACACGCATAAATATAGATAAATTTCATCTGATTTTCGTTCTTTTATAGAAAATCTTTTTATTACAAATTTCAACAAAAATAATTCTATATGTTTTACATTGACTTGTTCTTTTTTATGAAAATATCTTTGATAATAATCTTAGAGGATAATTAACGCTTTGAAACATTGTACCAAAGAATAAGACGTATAAATTGTTTTGTTCTTGTTCAAATATTTATTTTACTGTAATTACAATGACGAAGATGTGAGGTAGTGTTAGCACTATCTTCGGTATATAATGTTCTCTTCATTACTTCACTATCCATTTGTGTTCATATCACACAACGTCATGTATTATATATAAGAACACAAAGACGAGAGAACGAAAAGAAAAAAAAATACATATTAGTTTTGTTTATCAATACTATTTATATTGAGATGAAGAATATTTCTCAATAAATATAAACTTATCTATAGTAGGAAACGAAAGTAATCTAATTTTTTTGTTATTTATCACGAAGAATTGCTCGATTGCGCAATAATCAATTCTATTAAAATCAAACTGTTTTATCTATTTGTTGCAATTGCCATCTATCAAGATATTTTGAATATTTTACATATACTATTATAAAATTCGAATAAATATAGAGTATTAAATATAGAAGAAAGATTTTTTTTTAATAATTTAATCGATTTGAATGAAAGTTAAGATGGTTTTCTTGATCGATACTATTTAATAGAAAGATAATTGTATGATTAAATAAAAAAAAGAAATAACTTTGATTCGATTGTTTAGAAATAAAGATATTTTATTATTTAAATTGAGTTATTTTCAATGAGAATTTTAAATCTTTTCATTTTATCATCTTAATAAAAGAAAGGAGATGTGAAGATTCTTCTATTAAGAATTATTTGTTCTTTTTAAATCTTGGTTTTATATTTTTATTTTAGATGAAAACAATAGTCGCGGTGATAAAAGTTTGATTAGTATTCTTCTAGAATTATTTTCTCAATTGTCTCAATAATGGATAAAATCTGAATAAATAATAATTAACTTCGAAATTATTATTCAGATATATTTCTCAATACTTATCTCGAAATTCGAATCTTATTATATTAATTTAAAATCGTCAATCAAGAAATCAAAAGCATTACCAGTCTAAACAGAAATCTATCATTTGTTTAAGTAATCGATTATTCGTCTTTATTTATTTTCCTTCGACGCCAAATCTTCTATACATTGACATAATTTGTTCGATTTGAGAAAATTTTCTTGTTTCATTATCTTTTGAATAAAACCAACAAAATCTGATATGCATTATTTGGATATCAAAAGAATTTCTCTTCGGTATCTTATCTAATCAAATCGTAGATCACTTTTCGATCGATTATCGACATTAATATTTTCGAGAATCTTATTAAAGGCCTAAAGAAATCAACTAGAACCAATTTTTTTATTTTCTAACAAAATCAAAAACTCTTGAATTGAATTAAATTGTTAGTCAAAGAGAAGAAGATCGCATTTTTTGAATTATTTTGAAGGTGTGGGTGAGGGTGTGGATATCACAGACACAATGCGCACACACCCACACCCTTTTGCTCGATTAAATAAAGAATTCTTGATGTTGAAAGCAATCATTATCACGTGCGATGCTAACACATTTTACTAACAAGTTTCCCATATTTAAATTGAAAAATACCAATACAGAACTGAATATGATTGAAATTATATAATGCAAAAAAGCAAAAGAAATATTTAAATGATTAAAGTTTTACATTTCACGAATAAAACAGCTTGCCTAACTTTTTTATTGTAATTTGTTAAACACGATTCAGCTTTTCTTGATTTTATCGTTATAAAAATACCAACATATTCATAAGACAATTTATCTTATTGGTAGTGATCACAGAGACATTGACTTTAGTAGATGTCTTTTAAATAATACAAACATTTCCTTCACAAGATAACTTTCATTGCAAATTCACAATCATATAAAAAATAGTTATTAACTATTAGACTCTGTCCGTTATATAGTAATATATTCATATATAAATTTTGTAGACAATATTAGAGAATTTCTTTGTCATATTAAATTAAACAAAAAAAAATTGTATTTTTTTCGACAAATATCACGTTTTATAATATATCTGGCTAATTAATAATAACACATTGTATTATTTAGAATGAAGAAGTAAATATCTTGAATCATCAACTACAAAACGATACCATAATATCGGTAGAAATATTGTCGAAAAATGCCATAATGAATGTGCATCAATTGTCCAACCAATCGGTGGAAAATCAGCTAATTCTAATGCAACAAATATCATTGTTAAGACAACAGATAGAGCACATCGCCAAACATAAACTTTTCCAGACATAAAATGATATATACTCCAAAGAAGCCAACAAATAACATTAAAAAGACCAACAATAATATTAATTGTCATATTATAACCAAAATCCATTTTAATAAAAAGTAAATAATATGCATGATAAATAAAAAAACAGAATAAAAATAATGTTGCAAGTTTTGCTAAACGCATATATTTTGTTCTATAACCAACACGAATAAGACAACATGCAAATTGAGCAAAAACAAGTGAAATAGCACCAATATAATCAAATATTTCTGTTAATGGTTTATCACGTGTATGGAAGATTGTTGACCAAATCCATGCATTCATGGATATAAAACAAAATACTATCCACATTGAATAGAGTGGATGAACACCATAGCGAAGATAACGACGAAGTACTCGGTAACCAAATAAATAGTTAGATAATAAATTTAAAATTGAGAATAATGTTGATGCAGGTTCTTGCACACCAAATAAACGTACAAATGGCCATTTACCTAAAATTTTATATTTAGTAATGAATTGATGAACGTCTCACAATATTATTACCGTGAAATTGTACAACAGATTGTCCATTTGATATCATTTGATTAACAGTTTTCCACATACATTCATAAGAACATTCATCTGGACATGACCATTGAAAAATATATTCAAAGAATGTTTGTTTTACTTCAAATTCCTTCAAACCTAATGGTGTACTACAATTTATTTGTTTACAATGATTTAAACATGCTCGATACAAATAATGATTATCACCCGGTGATCCAAATACAATTAAATTTGTGGAAAAAATTAATAATACAATATAGAAAGTGATCATTATTTGATCGAAAAATAAAATGTTGAATTTTTCTTCAATTAATCAACCGAATCGATTATATTTAGACAAATCAGCAATAAAGAAGATGTCGCATATGAGAAACAGTCAATATCTATTGATTGGTACAAAAAAAGAATGAAAATATAGTCTTCTTCAAATACATGTGTGTATACATATGTATCTCTTTATAATTTATTATTTATTCAAGATTGAATTGATATAATGAGTTTCTTATGGGATTGGTTTACTAATATTTTATCCACACTTGGTATGTGTTAATAATTTTACATAATAAATAAATATTTATTTTATATAACTTAGGTTTACATAAAAAAAGTGGCAAACTTGTATTTCTTGGTCTTGATAATGCTGGAAAAGTAAACTTCTTGTATTTAATAAATTTTTAAATTATTTTCTTTCATGTTATTTAGACAACTTTATTACATATGTTAAAAGATGATCGATTAGCTCAACATGTACCAACTCTACATCCAAGTATGATATTATTACAGTTTAATGTTATGTAAACGAACATTTTTTTTTTAAATTATTTATAGCTTCCGAAGAATTGGTTATGGGTAATATGAAATTTACAACATTCGATTTAGGTGGTCATGCTCAAGGTAATTTCTTATCTAGGAAATGTCGAAGAGATAAATAACAATTTCTTTTTCTTTTAGCTCGTCGTGTATGGAAAGATTATTTTCCAGCAGTTGATTCAATTGTTTTTCTTGTTGATTCAGTTGATCGAAGTCGTTTTGCTGAAACAAAAGCAGAACTTGATGTTCGTATTTGTTAAATATATTATTATCATATAAGAATATATTGTTTTTTTCTAGAGTTTATTAACAGATGAACAAGTTGCTAATGCACCAATTGTTATTCTTGGTAATAAAATTGATTTACCAGGAGCTGTTAGTGAACAGGAACTTCGCTATGTACTTGGAATATCCACAGCAACAACAGGAAAAGTAAAAAAAAATTTTTACATTATTTTATTTTAAATAATAAATAAATGTTTTTTTTTCGTCTAGGGTAATGTTCCACGTTCGAATATCAATGGACGTCCAATGGAATTATTTATGTGTAGTGTATTGAGACGCGAAGGTTATGGAGAAGCATTTCGATGGCTTTCACAGTATTTATAAGGATACATATAGTCAATATTATCTAGATATTTTTTATTGGTTTTGTCTATATATATTCATTTTATCATTTTTGTTGTTGTCGGTATTGTCTGATTGATTATGATATTTATTTGTAAGGTTTAACGCAATTAAGTTACGAATAAATATTTTGTTGTTTCATTTTTATTGGATATCTTATGATTTATTTGTGAACATCGTTATAAAATAAAACGTATTTTTGAGATCAATTGAATACTTTAAATATCACTTAAATATGTTTGCACTGATATCTATCGTTCAACTATAACATAAAACATCTCAGACTATTAATCATTGAAGACGACAAATTTATAATGAAGAACAGACAATAAATAAACATTAATATCTTTTCGATCGATTGTTTAACATCGTTCTAATCCTATTATCAAACACAAACTAAACTTATTCATTTTTCTTTGCTAACATTTATTTGATCTTGCTTTGAAAATGATATATCATATATTCGTCTTTCTATCTCTTCTATCTACAAGTTATGAATGTGAGATATTGAGAGCATCTCAATGTCCACCAGGTCCAACAAAAGATGATGAAGAATTAATGAAATCGGAGTTATATACAAAAGAACAATTATTTGCTTTTTGTGATGCTGGTAAAACATATGCAGATTGTATCAATGAACGTTTACATTGTTGTGATATGCGTGTTGAATATGCATCAGCATTAGTATCACTTGATGCTCAACTAAAACGTAATGCATGGCGTACTGGAAAATATTGTACTGGAATTAGTGAAACAAATATTATACAATATAGATGTTTAACAACATTAGAATCAGGATTAACTACAACTTTACAACCTACAATCACAACAATAATACCAATATGTGATGTTGAAAAAGTAAGCAAAGAAAATTAGAATACAAAGAAATTTTCTTTATAATAAATTAGGCTGGAAGAGAATGTAGTCCAATTATTGAAAATCGTGTACATTTTGATTCTCAATGGTCTGTTTATGAAAAAGCTAAATGGTGTAAAGATACTTATGACTATTATATATGTGCATTATCATATATAACAAATTGTACAACAATATCTGTTGCAACTGATATTGCTCAATTAACACTTTTCATGGATTTTATAGAAAAAACTGCTAATCGTGAATGTCCCGGTGGTCTATATGGTTGTGCAGTGAATGCTAATAGTGATATGCGTTGTCGCGCTGGTGCAAAGTATTTTCTTGACAAAAATGCATTAACTGATCAAGCTATCATACGACAAAGATCATCTCTTACTCTACTTATCATATTTTTATGTTTATTCATTTGTTCATATTAGCATGTCTATTTTCTCTCTTTTTTTTGCCTTGTCGTATACATAAAATAAAAAAACGTGGCATTATAAAACAAATGTGTCAATGGGAAGACAATTACGTATTTATATTTATGAGTTACTAGTTGAATGAAAGATATTTTTTTATTATATACCATGTGTGTAGTCAATCTTCCTTCATGCATATAAATATACGCGTGTCAACCACCTTACTTTTGTTCGTTTCGTATATAGACGATAAAAAAGTGAATCGAAAAAAAAAGAATATGTTTTATAGCATGTAGTCAGTGTCTATTAGTAATGCATAACAATCACTAGCATGATAAAAGATATTGCTCAGTCGATTACTGGTAAGAGTTTATTATCAAATAAGATTTATTTATATTTTTGAATTCGATAGCAAAACAAAACTATAATATATTTATAATTCATTGTTTTTCTTCTGTAACTTTTACTATTGCGTAGATGCACAAAACATAATAATTAGTTGTTATTTTTTCTATTTGATCAGGAAATCAAAACTTTCTCAAATTACAAAATAATATCAACGGTTCACGATTGAACAATGTTGATGTTACTAATTCTCGACAAATACAATCAAAAAAAATACAAAACTATTATCCATTTCGTTCTGTTGACTATCAACGAGTAAATAATCGTACGAATAAATCACGTCTATCTAATAAAAAACAAACACATAATTTGGCACCAAATTCAGGTTATTTATATATACGAAATGGAACACATATCGCTAATGAACAAAAAACTCACGAATATTGCCGATATAGAACTGCGACAAATCGGGCTCCGATAAAAGTATGTGATAACTAGATTTGTCGTCTTCTTAACATATAAATAGCATTAGTAGATTAATTTATGACATCTGTTCTGTTCTAAGTACCATGTACATTGTAAATAAAAATATCTTTCTGAAAGAAGATTACTCAATGTGAAAACAAATTTATATAAATAGATTTAGATAAAATTAGTTCTTTATTTTAGATGTCTGATGCTTATAAGTATCAATTTCCTTTTTCATGCTATTCACAAATAACCAAACAAAATGAGAATGAATATTCAAGATATCGAGATTCTCAAGTAAGTTTTTTCATAAATTTATATTGAAAATTAATTTTTATAAAAATATTTAGGATTCACGTAAAAAATCCATCGATGAATATCAAAATAAAAATTTAAAACCTCATAAAATATGCCGATCATTAGCGTATGATAACGATCATCAGGTTAATTAATGTTATTATAAACTTTTATTCTAGGTTATTTTCTATTTCTATAGCGTTTTCCTATTCCTGATAATCGAGTTTTATGGAATACAATATTTCCTGATTATACACCATATGAATATACAACTGAAAAAATTCAACGTAATCCACGAGCAGATCCAGCTGATCCGTAAATGAGATTTTATCAGAGAAAAAAAAATACAGTATATATTTGATTTAGTTTAGATTGAAAATAGAAAAATTTAATCAACTTGATAAGAAAATTGATCGAAGAAGTTTTACTGGACAATACTATGTTGATCCAAAAACAAATCGACCACGAAATCCAAATGGAAGAACAGGAAGTAAACGAAAGACTTTTTTTGTTTGTTCTCAAAATCAAATATCATATTTTTAATTTAGTGACAGGTCGTGGTCGTCTATATTATTGGGGTCCAAATCATGCTGGTGATCCAGTTGTTACTCGGTAAATAGAAGTTCATATTTATTTATTCATTAAATTCATTTGTTTCATTATTAGTTGGCTTCGTGATGAAAATGGTTCAATTGTTTATCGTCGAAACAATGCTCGTGATTCTCTAAAACCGGTTCTTGAATTCGTAGCTATTCTTAGACAAGATAGAAAACAATGGGCTCTACCCGGAGTAAGAAATTTAACAAAAAACTAAGCCTGATTTGATTATTATAAATTCTGTTGATTTTCTTTTTGAGGGTATGGTTGATCCTGGAGAACATATATCTGAAACAGTAAAACGTGAATTTCAAGAAGAAGCATTACGAGATGGTGTTGATAAAACTTGTATAGATCAATTATTTTCTAATGGAGTTAAACTATTTGAATCTTATGTTGACGATCCAAGAAATACAGATAATGCATGGATAGAAACTGTTGCTGTGTAAATAAAATTTTCTATGAAAAAAAAATATTTAAATAATTATTTCGATTTTGTTTTAGAAATTTTCATGATGAAACAGGTCAATTAACTAAACAACTTCATTTAAATGCGGGTAAATATTTATTTTATATGATTTTAATTGTTATTTTTCTTTTCTAAATTAGGTGATGATGCGGAAAAGGTTGTCTGGCGTTCAATTGATAGAAACCTTGAATTATATGCATGTCATAAAGATATTCTAGAAATCGTTGTAGATCGATTTAATGCATATTGGTAATATTGAATGATGTATGATTATTGTTAGTGATAGAAAAAAAATAAAAAGACAATACTAACTTTGTAATAATTTTAACTATTTTGAACAACATGAAGAATTATTTAAAATATTTTTTAGCCTAATAAATAGAATTTTAATTGTAATAGTAGGTTTCTATGATTAATAATTTTAGTCAGCAACTAAGAAAAACAGTTGGTAATTGTATAGAAATAAAATGATCATCTATTATGTTAAATTGATTGAAAAATATTTGAAAAAAACAAATATAAATCTTGATACTTAAAAATATAAAGATTTTCTATATACAAACAATCAGAAATATAATTTTTGAACTTAATCGGAATTTATTTTAATCAAAGTATTACAAACTCATGTGAATACAGTTTTTTTCTCATGCTACCTACAGCTCCATCTACTATACAAATGTACTATTAGTAAATTTTTTAAATATATTTGAAGAACATTGTATCAATCGAAACATCTTTAGTATTGTATAGAAGAATTATTCAGATGAAATATAAGTCTAATCTGATTGGTGAATATTCTCGACAAATACAAATCAATTGTCAAAGTAATAAACAAAAAAGAATAGATTATTCGTTATATTATATAATTACTCTAAACTTATACTTTTAACAATATAAATATGGCTTCACGTCGTGGAATATTTTTTAATTCAAAATCACGTACAGTTGATAAAGTTCAACAATTACCGACACAAATATCAAATGAAATACCAAGTAATGACAATAATAATAATAATACTAACAATAATACTAATCCTCAAGCAACAACAGTAAAAAAAAAGATTATATTAAATCATACAAAACGAACATTAACGAAAACAAATTATTCTGGACCACGAAAAATCTTTAGTACAAATTATAAAGTAAGACGAGAAAAAAAATTGATTTGTTATTACAAATATTTTATTTAGGCAAATCGAACGCAACTAAATCATAAAGCATTTTTTGGTGGTAATACAGATGAATATGATTTAGATAATAATGAAATCAATACTAATAATACTCTTCATACAAAAACAATCATTTCAAGTAATAAAACACATATTGAACAAAAACAGGTTGAGTATTAAATTATAAAAATACAAAAATCAATTGAATTTTTGTTATTTAAAAGATGCAAACAACAATTGTATCAAATTTTCGACAACCAACAACATGTGCAGAACTTGATGAAACACAAAGTTATATTGATGAAATGGATTATCTTTTAACAGGATTTCAACCTGGAAAATTACTCGTAGATCGTTGTCTTAGGTAAGATAAAATTGGTATTGTCCTGAAATCCGGAAAAGTTTTGAAAAAAGATTCGACAGTTTATTTAACAAAGAAGAGATGTAGTCCACTTTTTACTAGCCACCAGTAAAGAAAGTCCCATGAGATGTTCATCGCTCTCGAAATGTTTGGCAAGTAGGACTGTGAAAGCTGAGGTTCAGTTCTTTCGAACTGGAACTGTCACATTCCTATTGGCAAGAGTATTGAATTGAGCTGGAAGGTGTAGATGTAAACAAAGCATGGACACGACACCCACACTCTCAAGATGCATGTCTGTGTATATTTGCTAATAGAAGTCCAGGGCATAGTAAAGCAGAATGGCACTCGGTAGACGATAAATCATGATTGATGTAGACAACCATAAACATTTATGAAAGAATATTATTATTCTTTTCTGTTAGAATGATATCAGAAATTTCCCAGATTTCAAGACATATCCGATAAAATTCATTAGAAATCACTATAATCTTTGTGATTTATTTTTAGTGCAATTAAATTTGCTGAATTATGTATTAAACCAACATTTCGAATGCATCTACGCACGAATCGTGCATTAGAACGAATTTTTGATTTATTCAAAGATACACCAAATATACCGGTAATAATGATTGATATTTTATCTGTAATATTCTTTTTATTTCTTTGATAGAGTTTAAATTTATGTACAACGTTTATTTTCTATATACTTTCATCAGATACATTAGCATCAGGATTAAATTCAAGTGCAATACATTTAATATTAGATTTAGTTGATAAAAGTTCATCGATAAATCCAAATGATGAAGAATATAATAAAATGAAAGAACGAATATTAAATATAAATCAAAAATCATTACCAGATAATATTTTTTATGAACAAAGATTTAATGTAAAAAAAAGAAAAAAATATAATTCAAATTATTTATTTTTTGATTCTTATTAGATATGTGATATGATTCTGGAAACATTTGTTAATATTTCTCGTAATAATTTAAAAGAATCTTTAAGAAATGAACTACGTACATTAGGTGGTTTTGATTTAATAATTAAAGCAGGTAAAAATATTTTCTCTCGTTGTTTATTTAAAAAAGTTTATTTAATTTAATTCCAGTCAATTCAATAGTACAAGATTTAGCAAATAATGATTTTAAATGTTATTCATTATCAGAATTATCAATACGTTATCGAAAAGTCTGTCGATATATAAATATGCTTGAAGAATTTGCAAATGAAAATTCCGAACAATCATCAGCATCAAAATCAAATATAAATATTAATCGAATGTATATTGCTCAATATAATCAATATTCATTGTTTCATTCATTATCAAAGTAAATTTTCATAGAAATTAAAATTAAGATTTGACTATATTTTATTTTATCAAAAAAGATTACTTGATCTTTCATTAATCTGGTTACAACAAGGGCCAACAATTAATCAAACTAGTACTACAGCAACGAATGTCAAAGATACAAATTCATATGATATGTTTCGAGAGGGATGTAAAGCAATCATGTCTATACTTGTTATTATTACGAATGATTGTGGTGAGTTTGTTTAATACGATTAAATATTATTAGTTCTCAAGATTTATACAAAAGGGAAAGAGCGATCTCCGGATTCCTGAGGACTCCAGATTCCACTCTTCCCCCTTGGATTTATATCATTCATTGTTGTACTAAATTTTTACTAATGAGTTATTCTCTCTATCTTAAGATTATTTTGATGTGAACATAACCAAAATTAATCAGAAATCGTTCTAATATAAACACTAAACAAAAAAGATCGAATGTCATTGCATATCTAAGGTCGAAAGAAAAATCTTGAATCGTTGTACGATAGAATTTAATGACTATTTGAGGAATGATATACATTTTCGCGTATGTTACATATCATAGTGAAAGAATACTTTCTACATAATAAGTATGCGTACATTTCATAGACATGAATATTATAGCGAGATGCCAAACATTTCATTGTAGTCGATGTGTTATTTTTTTCTCTTCGATAAGTAATGAATTGAGAGCTAAAACTTCGATCAGATCACATTTTTCTACAAACACTGCTCTGCGCCTATAATTACAACAGAACTACATAACTTGTAGACGTTTGTTTTTTAAATAACTTTTCTTTCTATTTTAGAAGTTCTTTGTGATCGTTTAACATCGGATGATCGATTTTTTTCAAATCTATTTCGTTTACTTGTTACTATTGAAAACAGTTCATTTAGTAATGAAGATAAATTTGATGCACTTGCATTGGTTTGTTATATATATATATATGTTCATTCGAGAATATTATTATTCTTTTTGTTTTTAGACCCTTAATTTATTAATCAATCTCGTGCAAAATACAAAATATATTTATAAACATCTGATGGAAACAAATATGCCCGATGGAAGTACAGTAAAAATTTATGAATATCTTGCTAAAGTAATAATCAAAAATAAAAACAAGATAGAAATCAAATTTGTTTTTATTTTTTCAGTTATTTTGTGAACAAGAATCTTCAGCTGCTAAAGCTGAATCTCACGAAGAAAATGACTGGATGATGGAAGATGTTGATGATAATGATTTTGATGAAGAATCTGATAAAAAACCGACAAATGAAAATGGGGCGAATTTTAATCGTGCTCTACAAAAAGCTGCTGGTCATATGGAAAATACATTTGTTGCAGCATTTACTGGTGTTATATTAGCGGTTATTTTATTACGAGATCAAACAAAATATGCATCACAAATACGAGAATTAATGCCACAAAAGAAATTCGATACAATGGCTTTTATATTAAAAAAATTTTTCGTTTTTATGCATATGTCGGTATGTTGAATTTTTGCACTAAAAATATATTTTTATTTTCTAATATTTGTTCTATTTTTTTGTAGCATGCATTTACACCATCGGGTGTAAAAATTCTTGAAGAACTTATTTCAATGGTTTTATCATTATGTGGATAATGAAATCGAAACAGATAATTCGTTTTTTTTGTATATAAATCTATAGACATTTCACAGTTGTTTGTGTGTTTTGTTCTAACTCTTTGTATTAAAAAAATAATATTCATAATGAATATGAATAGATTGATCATTGTGGTCATAATGAATTCAAGCTAATATAGATGATTTTTTATAGTGATTAACATATGTTGTTTAAAATAAATTATAGATACTTTAATGATAATTGTAGTTTATTAGAAAAATTAACATGTGAAGGATCTTTAGATACATACGATTTTCAAATTTGACTTTTTCTTGTTTGTGATACGTTTATAAATAATTTTTTTTGTTGGCTTTACAATAGGTTATTAGAAATTTCAGATTAATAAACTAGCCTGTTAATCCAACATGATAAAATCATTCTAAGTTAAAAAATTTATTGGACTTAAAAGCTATCTAAATTGTTCTTTTGACATAAGTATTCTTCTGTAATGTAATAAACCGTACAAGTATTATTATAAGATTAGTTTAATAAGGATAATTAGAAAAAAATCTTCTTTAAACAGATTCATGTATTTTTTATGAGATACAAGCATTTATAATGAATGTACTTATTTCTCAGATGACTTATTAATTAACAAGTAACACTCGTCCGTGGACTCGCTTAGCTCTTTCTCGTAGAAATGTATTTTCTTCGCATTTACTGGAAAAACAAATAAAAACCGTGAAAAATTGGTCTTCGATGTTTTTCTAACCTCTGCCCCCTCCCCTCACTATGGTCACTTAATAGACCTCAAATTCGAAGTCTCTGCATCGAAATACCTCTAGAAATGTCTTTTCCGAAAAATTGATGTTCGATGTTTTTTTGACCCTGCGGACACACAATTAAGAAAGCAAATAAACAATTTACGTTTACTGGACTCTTCTCTACAAGAAAGAGAATAAAATAGTGTAGTTCTTACAAGAGAACCTCCCCTCGTCGAGAAGACTCGGGGCCTTCTATCATGACATACATTTTTTAACTACAAAATTTTCTGAATGATTTTTCAGGATTGTTCATAATACACCAATAAAACTTTGATCGGTATTTGTTCACTTCCTTCCTACATGTCACAATAGAATGGTTTCGAATAGTAGTGTTTTTAAGGATTAGTGCAATCGTTTACTTTCTGCATTCTTTTCAAAGATATGTTATGGACAAATAATAACTATGACCTGATGAATAAGCAATATATTTTATTTTTCGAAATCTTTTTTTACAATATTTATGGGTGAATATGTCGTTCAATAGTATTTGTTAAAGGTACTACTGCTGCCCTAGCTCGCCGTCGATAACGACAACAATTGGAAAGAATTGTTTTTATTTTTGTTCGAAGTTCTATTTGACCAAATAGAACAAGAAATGGATAAATTAAATTGACTAAATATTTTAAATTTCCAAAATAATCATTTATTAATGGCATAACAATATTTTTTTCTTTTTTTGTACCAAATGTTGAGAAATAAAATAAAATACTTAATGGTATCCATATACTTAAATAAAGTATAAGAATGGGTAATAATTGAATAATCATTTGTATACTTTCTTTCCAAAAATTTCTTCGTCTTTTCATACTTTTTCGTTGAATATAAACTCGAGTAATTAGAACACAACTCATCGCTATTGTTAACATAACTGGTAAACAAATCATAATAATATTTTTAAAAATAACCGCAAATGATGATAGAGAAAAAAAGCAAGGTAAACCACATCCAATAGTATTATAATTATATATATTTTTACATGGTATACCATATATTCCGATGATATAAAATATTGATGGAAATAAAATACATAAGAGAAGAGGTATTTGACGAAGAAGAATAGTATGTTGTGATAGAAATATATGATTAAAAATTAATAAATATCGATCAATTGATGTAAGTGCCATAATTAATAAATTAATAGAAACCAATGTATATTGACACCAATTCCAAAAATCACAAAAATGTGTATTGGGAAATATAACTGTTCCATTATATAAAAAATATAAACGTGGTGGTAATTCAATAATTTCCTAAATATGAGAGAATTCATTTCAGTAAGGGAGAAAAAACACAAAATTTACCTGAATAAAATTCATAATAAGTAAACAAATAACAAGATAATTTCGTGGTTTATGACGTAAGGGTGGTAATTGAAGAAATTGATAGAATAAAAAAAGTGTACAAACAATTGATGGCCCAAGTAAACTTGTTAGTATGATAAACATAGTTGGTGATGACATAGTTTGGTTTTTTTACTACACTAAAATAAATGAGTCGTAGATTTCACATTTGTTCAAACAAGTCCTCTTTAGGTGACACTTCGAGTATAGACATAATATAAGAAGGAAACTAATGATACTAACCTTATATTTATAACATAGTAGAATTACTTATTCAGTACAAAAAAGAGCTAAGCCGACTCTGTTAGATCTATAAAAGATGAGACATTCGATATAGATATTAGAATCTCTCTTCTTCTATATAAAGGTGATAATATTAAAAAACTTTCTGATATATAATTTTTCTTTTTCAACATTTTCTTAAACTAGGAATTTCAAAAAAAATTAATAAAAATTTCGTAATACACCTATTGACTCTATCTTGATAGTCTTAAAAATAAAATAATCATTCAAAAATGCTTCATTCATTGTATTTATAAGTATTCCTACTTTTTATCTCATCTTGTTTTAAAACTATATAAAAAAGTCATAAATTTGAATTCTTCAAGGTTCAAGAACATTTCAAGTGACATATGATTTATATAAACTTATTAAAAATATAATATTAAGATAGTTCGTCATTTTCAGACGTTATCAGCTTAATATAAAATTACCTATTATTCAAAGATAAAAATAGATAATGAAGTACATTTTCTTCGTTTTATTGTATATATGCAAGACTTCAAAAATTGTTTTTAAATTTTATACGATTAGAGAGTATTGATTACTCTATCCATCTGTATAGTTTTATGAAAAAAATGAATAAATTCGAGAAATAGATTACGAAAACTTGTTTTTTCTGTGGAATCATTGGGTAATTACAATAAATGAATATCTTGTTTTGACACAGTTAAATATAGAATTCACTTTTCTAACAAACTATGCATCGTCATCTGATCTACTTCTCAGTTTCATTGAAAATCTAAAGCTACAAAAATGTTTGATGTATCCGTCCGAACTAAAACTATTTTCGTGAGAACCAGATTAAGTCCAGATGAAGTAGACCTAGACAAAAGTTTTGTTGAGCTAGTTCTTGGAATCTTCTGATTTTTTTAAATCAAGATATGAAATGAATTAAAAGGAAACTGTATAGTTGGACAGAATAATCAATGCTCTATTGAATCATGTAGAAGTCTCTTCGAGATACAGCAGATTTACAAAAATTAGAAAAAATAAGTGAATCATCTTGTACAGTCCGATTCAAAAAAATTTGCACATCTTGTTTTGTAAATATATCCCCATATATAAGTTACTCTCAGGTAGTTTCCATTACTGATTGATAGCCTATGTCGAGTGCTATTAAATACTATACTTCAATATTTTATTCGTTCGCCTTAAGATTCAATAAGAAACAAACATCGTTTTTTCGTCCACATCATAATTTTCACTACAATATTAACATCAACATTTTTAAATTCTTCACATAAAAAAGGCTCTAGTTCCATCAATATTTTTCGGTTTTCTTTTTTCAACTTTGCGTTTTACGATCGGCCACAAGTTCTCGATAGGATCAACGTTTCGAGTATCAGATGAGCATTGGAATAATTCTAATATTTTATTGTTGATCAATTGTTTGGAAATATTGTGAGTATGATGACGATCATTATCTTATTGTAAACACCAATTTTGACGGAATTCTTCTCTAGCAGCAGAAAGAAGACAATTTTTTAGTATATGAGCTTAATATGAACCATTAGTTGTCGATAATTTTTCTTTAATTTCATTGAGGATTATTTAATTGTTACATCGAATATATTGAGGAATATAGATTTTTTCTATTTCCGTGTGGCACATAGTCAACCATTTCC